TTGAGAGCAAATAATTCGAAAAAATCTGTCATAATCTTTTGGTTGAGGTGACTTCTATCGTATTCATTAAAGACGGAATTATTTAAATTCCGTAAACTAGGTTTACCTTGGAAGTAATTTAACTCATTTTATACAACTTTCAAGCATTTTCCTGCATTTTAAGTGTTATTTGGTGCTCAATAGACTTACCTCCACGTGGTGCACCCTGGGCAACGTATACTTATACGGCAAAAAAGTCTACTGTTCGGCAGTTGACTTCTGACTTCAAATTTCTATGGCCTGACTATTTTTCATATTCGACCCCTTCCACAGTACTCATCTTACCTTTTGTATGCCTTTGTGTCTCTATGTCTGTCTCTTTTACCTCTGTGAATCATTATTCTGTCTTCCATCTCGACTTTTTGTCACTTTGATGTCCCTTCTCCTCTTCATGAAGCCCCGAAGTCAGCTCCGGGGCTAATGACAACTATCAAAACCCCTGCTATTTGATATAAATAAATACAAGTGTTAGTTGGTTACTAAGTCCATTTCGAATACCTTGTCGCGAAGCTGATCTACTCGCAAGATCCTTCTTAATACAAACCTAACAACATCACCAATTTCTCCATTTCCAATTTATGATTGGAAAGGGAATGTTTTCAAGTCCTATTTGTCCTATGATGAAAGCCTCCAAACCTTAGTCATATTCAAGCCATTTTAATCGATTTTTGTTGACATGTCAAGGGAAAGAATAGGATGACGCAAAGCATAGCTTAACTCGAAGTTTATTGGTAAAAAGGGTCAAAAGTTCAAATTAACATTTTTTGTAACAATGAGCAATGGTGTAAATATGGATTTCATAACAAATTCGTATGCTTAGCATGCAATACGAGGAGATAGCACTAATCCACCAATCATACCTTAAAACCTATCATCTCAATATAACACATATTCACCTAAAATTTGCCATTGTTTACCGTATTGTATTTACAGATAGCAGTAGTGGTAGATAATAATGTTCGTGATTTTGTGAAAAAAAATTGACAAAGATAATCCCTGCACCTTCAATTTGAAATATAGGCGGTAAAAAACACCTCTTCAATTTAATTTTTGATCTTTTAAAAACTACGTAATCGATATAAAGTTGCATGTAGAATCCACATTAGCAAGTTTTATATAAAAGTAAATAAATGAATGTATTTCATTTCTGGTCACACTAGGGCCCTGAATAAGAAATGTAAAAAACACGTTGATGAGATTTTAAATTTACAACTGCCTTGAAAAATTACATTGAAACAAGTATCAACTCCATATTAATGATAAAATAAGTAAAAATTCAAGACTTCTAAAGAAGATTAAATGATAAAAGGTATCAACTCACATCAGGGTCATCAATTCCATGGACAATGGAGTAATGATCTTGCAGACTAGAAGCATCCGTAGTAGCGGCTCCGCATTCACAACACAAGATGATACGACTCTGGAAGGTAATGGGGGTTGCACTATCATCCGGTAAATGCTCCCTCCATGCGTGGTGACGCAGTCCAATCGCATCGGTTGTGTGGAAGGAGCATAGTGGGCACTCTAACCGTAGTGATCCAGGAACAGAGGCCTGTCCTAATCCTGCCCGGTTTGGCAGAGCTTCTGTCTGTAAGAAAAGGGAGTAAAACAAATAACTCCACTTCATGCGCTCAGTCAATCAGCAAACACACACACACAAAAGAAAGACCAGGTGTAAGTACAAAGCATATGTATATAATTGTATTTAGATGCAGGAGGATGATAATCAACATCTATTCACGCATTCTCCATAAAAGAGCTAAACTCAGTGAGGGTACTTAAGAATTCTGACATCAATTTGGAATTATTAGACCCAGTAAGTTGTTGTTGGTGGACATTGGTGGGTTCAGTTAAATAAAGTCCATCAGAAGAAAGTATCCAACCCCTCATTACTATAACAGCTTCATTTGGAGCAAGGCTGAGTAGAGTGGATAACTTCTCGAGGGAAATGGAAGAGTATGAGGACCTAATAGAGTCAACTGTTGAGGAGAGAACCCTTTGATAAACTACGGAAATGTGTGATGATATAGAAGGAGGAATAGTTGATGACTTTAACAATTCCTGGCAAGCAGAAAGAAATTTGGAATTCTGTTTCTTAAGTATAAATACGGTCAAGACCCAAACTCTGTGGAGCAGAGATTCTGGGGTTTTCATTGAAGCAGGTACGCGTTTCCACATAAACTTGGCATCCATAATGCGATCAAGCCTTAGATAGAGGCAAAGCAGCTCAAGATATTGCTCAGGCGTTAGAACTCCATTTTCCATTTCTAGATTTTCCAGCTGAATAATCTGACTACTGATTTCCATTATATTCGCGTCAATTGAATCCATATTTTCTATTCAAAAATAATTACAGATCAACATTAAGAATTCATTAAAACCTTTAAAATAAGCAGTCTATAAAAAACATTACAGCAAATATTAATCACAAAATAGGGATCTTTCGATTTTTCGGGCAGATATAGAAACAGTATAACACTCGTATCAATGACCCTGTTAATCGCCTTTAAATATGCCTATAAAGTTATTAAATTGCAGCTTTTGGCGATCACCACCATAATAATGTTTCAAAAGAAATTTTAAATTAAATAACTTGCATGAATAAATAATGAATGGCATAAATATTCTTACCAAAAAACATCAAAAGTATATAACTTTAATATGTTCATAAAAATTTTAGAAATCAAATAAACCTCAATAATAATTTATTTACATAATAAATAAAGTGAAAATATTGATGAAATATTGGTTGAGCAATCATTGATGTCTCCAATAAGATCTTAGCACTAAATTGAATTCATGACAAATAGTCTATTATAAGTTGTGTTATCGTGACCAGTCACCTATGGTTTTGAAAAAAACCCCATCGTAACATGCGGTTTCGAATTGTCTTAACTGAAGCTGAATGCATATCTTAGTGATTAATGTCATTATTACACTTTCATAATGTTAGTTTTTTCGTCAAATGTGGTGCGCGATAGACACATCAAAGGGAGCACCCTAGACAACATATACTCAAACAACAAAAAAGCCTATAAACCAGCTCTTGACTTCTGACTTCAAACTACAATGACCCCACTGTATGTTATATTCAACCACTTCTTTTGACTTTACAGCTACATCAAACATCACTTGGATTCTCAAAGATTTTGATAAAATAAAAAGTCACAGTTTATGAGTGAGGCAAGGCGCTCAGGTCTCTGCTAAATACACAGGTTACCGGAAAACGATCACAAAGCATTAAACAATATAGTTATTTCTAAAATCTTATTTTGGAGTCCCATAAACTGAATTGAAACTGAGAGGGTTTATATTCACATAACTGGACCGCCTGACTAGTCTGAGGTACAATAAAGCCAAAATATTTATCATCAAATCATTGTCAACTTTGTCAGGCCTAATGTCCTAAAATCATTTTTTACGTTTCGGAATAATTCCTCATTTTTGCATTTTAGATTGCCTACTAGTAAATTCTATCCTAAATGCGATTAAACTCAGGTGGAAACATATTCTGCGACTTAAAAGACACTAGTCGAGATGGCATTTCTCACGACATGACAAATTACACATTCCGAAGTGCCTTTGTTCCATTATCAATATTTTAAAATTGATTTTGTTCTACGATCATTTTTCCTTTACATGCATTTATTCAAAAAGTAAGATATATATATATATATATATATATGTAATATATATATGGATCACATCAAAATCAATTTAAATAATCTTTTATGTAATTGAGAACGTAAAATTAGCGGGTTCAGCAAAATATTTTCTTGCTTATGAAAAAAATAGCATTCATTTAAGAAAAAGCTTTCCAAGTGCAAGTATGTTCGGCTGAAAGTGAGTTTACCTCAATTTAATATTAGTTCAAAAACTGTAAAAAAAATATTTAAATTTTATTTGAAAATTATAATTAAAGTGTCGGAATTATGGAGTTGACTTGACTATTACCATTAAGTTTATTTTTAATGACTACTGTATGTACTTGAATATATAAACGCAATTGTGACCTTGGTGCGGTCTTTGGTTTTCTGTTCTGTTCTTTTTTGTGGTCAATATTTCCAGTTATCGTTCTTGATACCTTAAACATTTAGAAAAGATCTTTTGTATTTATTACAAAGATGCAATGTTGGACCGTCGATCTGAGATGCGAACATGGCAAAATAAACGTATTAGCAAATTTAATTTTATAAAAAATATATTTTAGTCTATAATTTGCAACGAGAAGCTCCTAAGCCTTTCCCGGTAGAATGCACGGAACCCTTGGAGCACGTTCCCGAGCAGTACGGCTCTGCTTATCACGGTCCTTTAAGTCGTCAGGGCACCGAGGAATTGCTGGATGGACAACCCTCTGGAGCTTACCTTATTCGCGATAGCCAACGAGCGGACGGTGCCTACACCCTAGCAATACGATTTGATGATTCAACTAAAAATTATAAATTATTCTATGACTTCAATAAAAAATTACATTACGTTGGTGAAAAGAAATTCGAATCTGTGGATTTGTTAGTTGCTGATGGGTTAATTTACCTCTATATCGAAACCCGTGGGGCCGATATTTTGCAAAAACTTTCAGAAGCTAGTAATTATGAACATTCTCCTTACTACCGGGTATGTTTATTACTTGGCTTTCTAATTTAGCATATGGCAATTCCTCATTTTTTTCTTTCGTAGACCCGATATCATACTGTTAATGCAGTTCCCCCATCAAATCGACCGTCCGTTTCCGCTGTGTCTGGAAATAAAATTGTTCCACCTCGAAGACAGTCTTCCTTAGAGCTTCTTGACACCCATAATCACTGGAATCAGTCAAATAGTATCTCCCATCATCCACTTCAAACTCCTCCCAAACCGCCAACACCAATTTCAAGTAGACAGTCTTCTGCTAAACAACAGTCAATCGAGGATAGTTCCACTATAGCGACAGAGGCAGCAACGATTTCTGTTCCTATAGATGCTGATGAGGGGATTTCTAATGGAGATGTTTTGCTCACGGATTCCATCGAAAAGAAATCTCTTCTGTCAGATAAATCGGTGAGTGAAATTAGTAGATCTATTTATTTTATTTTTATTTTATTTATTACTGAGTCGCCCCATTAGTCACCAGTCCTCTTACTCTCAACATTTATACCAATTTTGGCCCTTTATAAGCTAGAATTTAATTAAAATAATCATAGCACGATTTTAGGCTTATTTCTTTGTCCTAGATGAAATAGTGTTTCAGTTCCCTTTTGGCCAACTTGAAAGGCAATCATCATCTTTCCTTTGTGAGATCTCGAGAAAACTATTTGATAACAACTTATTCTCGGTTGACACGTATTTTTGTCATAATTCGTTCATAATTTTTTGTATCCATCAGGAAAAAATTGATGTGACATATTTCATCATTTGATAATTTTCTTGGATAATGATTCTAATGAACATTGGAATATATCAAGTACTATTAATTCCCTATATTGATGTTGTAATTATGCCCTAATTGTTCGAGTTTTGTCTCCTTAGAATTTTATTTCTACAATTTTTTTCATCCATTTGACTATTTATCAATGCCGGTATAGTTTTTTTAGCGTAGAGAACGGTAGAATATACGCATCGTTATTTACTAGGAAATTGTGGATCTTTACCAATTTATCTAGTGATCTAAAAAGCTTGGAATGTAATAATATTGGTTCAATGAGCGTCTTTCTAATTAACAATTTTGAATGTGGAAACTACTGAAGCAAGTGTTAGAGGATGCCAACCAATTACTGAAAGGATGTGTGGGTGTGGAGATCAAGGGAATGCAGAGTGCAGTGTTAGGAGTGTCAACGCCGCGGAATTCGAGCTCTACAACACGAGACGTGTAACTCACGTTGCGAAATTTAAATCTCACCTTTCTCTCCATGGTCTGTGACAAATGCTTAGCTGAGATGGCCAATTCTCATTTTCCGACTTCTTGTCGCTTCAATTCGTTTTGTTACATTAATAGGATTGATCAGTGGAATAGAAATACGATCTTGCGTGATATTCAACCGCTTACGCCCCTAACACAACAGAGAAGAAGTAATTTTAAAATCTTTACCACCAGTTAAACAGCGCTTTGTAGGTCATATCCAATCGCTACCTAATTATCCACACTAAATAAGAGAAGTAAATCTTAAAATTAGTTTATTAGCCGAACCTCACTTCCACTTAGCTCTCCAGTAATTGGGTTGTGTGTACTCGTATTTTATAATTTTATTTGGACCTACCCCATTCTCTCCGATAACCTCATCTCCTGTTAGAGAGGGAGTTTGAGCACTTATGTCAGTTTCAAATTTTGTTTGTTTCGAAATAATTCAAGCGACAGTGTTCTCTGCCCAAAGATCGCCGAAATCGGAGTTTCCACTTGTAAAGAAGGTTTGTAATTTAATTGAAGGACAGATATTTATTTACATTCTTTTTTTATAACTTTGTAATTCATATTAGTTGTTATGGAGATTACGGAGTCATGAATTTTGACCTAAACTTTAAACGTAAATACTTGTAGACATGCAACTTATCCACATTTACGCTTATGGATGCATTTCATATTTTTTGGTTCTAACAATGCTGACCTCTATATGGTTGGTTTTTCTCAGTGTCTTGTGATATCTGCCTAATACAACGATGTGATTGCCAAATTTTTGGTCCAGAATAATATAATTTTGATTTAACCTTATGTTAGATTCAATCAGTGGGGGGTTTAAATGCCTTTTATTTCCTTTCAAACATATTTTCTTTCCGCAAAGAGACGAATGTCATTGAGGTCAATACTCATAGACTATAGCTTTTCTTTATTTAGACAAGTAGAATTTTGTAGGTGCCAATTAGGTGAAAAGGTAAATGCTCAAAATATCGCATTTAAAATACAGTTCATACACAGACCCTTCCTCAATAAGTTTTTTTTCAATTTTAAAATCAATTGTTTATGAGTGTCAAATCATTACATGTAAAGTAAATGTAATTTTATGAAGAAGCAAGTGGAATCGGTCAACAAAATGTCCAACTTATGTTAGGGAGGACGGTACTGTCAAAAATGGCAATCATGATTGTCGCCTTGACAGCGCTTCTACTCTTCAATTTGAGGAGGCAAATTGATTTCACTTGGCATTCAGCTGCTCCCAGTTCTTGGATAAGCTTTGTTCATTCTAGAAGAGTGTAAAATAGTTTTTTTTCATATTTACGAATATATATATATGTATATATATATATATATATTTATTTATTTATTTATTTATTTTGAATGAAGAACCCTATTGTCACATTTAGTGAAATCGACTGAGATTCACCCATCTCTGCTGCCCCTACTATTTCCCAAACCATTTTATTTGTGGTAATTTTTTTCATTATTCTGTCAAAATGTGACCCATCGTGTAGTGAAGTAGTAATAGAACACTTGAGCGCTGGAAGTGTGCTTAAAGCTTGCTTTGCTATCTTGGTTTGCCCGTCTTAAAATATAATATTACTTCATAAAAGTTCCTTAATCAGGACACTGTTCGACTCTTTCTTCATAACCAAAAGGAAAGAGTTGAGTTCGTGAAATTATGTCCATTTTCCTTTAATTTATGACATTCAGTATAATCCTATTCCATACCATTCCTTACAGTAATGCAAGCACAAGGTTTTTCCCAAATTTCCATGAAAATGCTGGAAGGTGGGAAGCTATCTAACAACGACTGAGAATTATAATCGAGGTATTAGTCTTAGTTAATGTTTTGATTTTGGGATTCCATTTGCCTGAACTCCTTTTTCTCAAGTTCAAATCTCATTCTTCACCCACCCCCCCCCCCCCCTGGATTTCAGCAAATGTATGTCTACGATTTCCAGTGTCTATTAGGTCACATTTTCTATCGAGATAGTCTCTCTCTCTCTCTCTCTCTTGCCACATTCATTCTACCCTTTTTGAAAAGTTTGAGAGAGTAAAATGATATCAATTTTTCATTTTAATTAAATTTCATTCAATACATTAAATTGCACTTCCTTGTTCTACATTGATATTTTACTGCTATGACCTTTCATCTTTTCAGTTTAATAGGCAAATTATTGCCGAGTCTACTCAGTCTCGTCATGGGCGTCTCTTGGTTCTCCTCCTAAACAAAATGGGTCTCTTCCCTTTTCCTTGGAATTTGGTAAAACTCAAACATCATACCATCACGGCTCATTAGCAAAATTTGGCCTACCTAATATATTCCTAACATTAATTGCGACACTTCTTGCAATCTGCAGGAATAAAATTAATTGCCATTGATGAATTTGTGTTAAAATCGATGCCATTTTTTGCCTGATTTCCTTTGGATGTAATCTAATTGCTCTGTATCTATTGACTAATTGCAGGCTCGAAGTACGTCTTTACCCTTCACAAAGCCCTCACGGAATGATCAATCGAAACACGATACAACTGACTCAGTGGCCGTGGAGAGTAGTGGAAGTAGTAGCGGTCATGCAAGCCTCAAATCTCGACAATCAGACAATCAGGATGTGTTTGCCATTGATGATACAGAGACACGGCGAAAGAAATTTATCGGTGGAGGGAATGCACATCACCGAACACTGGCCTCCACACTCCCTGTGAGTTTAGATGGGACAATGAATCCTCAGTTGCCACCCTCGCCGTTGCCGCTGACGTCTGTACCCCTATCGGCGCATCATCTGGCCTTTCCGGATGTTGAGAAGGCTCACAATTTCAGGGTGCATACTTTCAGGGGACCGCATTGGTGTGATTTCTGTACACACTTTATTTGGGGTCTGGTTTCTCAAGGCGTCAAATGTACAGACTGTGGATTTCAGGTAAGCTTATACTACCCTTATATATTATTTAGTAAATACCATACAAAATAGCATGGTTATTAGGGTCTAAGTATCGAAAATTTTTACAAAGAAGAAAAAATTCAAGAGTCGGGTCAGAAGAGTGACTCATCGCTGCAAAAGAGACAGACACAAAGGTAGAGAAGAAGGAGAGGTGAGTACTATGGTCGTGGTGGAATATGACATAGAGTGGGGTCATGGTAGTTTAAAGTCAGACGTCAACCGCCCGTTTATAGACATTTTTGCCGTATGAGTATACATTGCCCAG